TTTTTAAATTATTAAATATTATTTAATATTAATTTTTAAAACTATTAAATATTTAAAAATTGGATAATATCGTAGTAGAATTTAAATTATCATATTCAAATAAAATTTAAAATTTAAGAATTTTAAATTAACTTATTCAAACAAAACATTCAAGGAAAGATAAAAATTAAAATTAAGATAATTTTAATTTTAATTTTTTTAATTTTTTATTTTTTTTTTAAAATTTCTTATTCAAACATAACATAAGATTCATATTTAAAATTTTGTGCCCATTATCCCAACTTCGACTATCAGATAGGCCCGGTAGTTCTACCTCCTGATGATGTAACTTTACATTTATGGTTTCATGTTTCTACTTATGTGCTATTTATATATCAAGTAAATTTGTTTAACAACAATAGCTTTATCTCATTACGGGAGATTGATTCAACAAAATTGAAACACCTATCATGATTGCTTAAAAATCAAAATCTCATACATATTATTTATTATGATATATATTTATTTTAATAATTTTCTCTAAAGTCTTTTTTGGGTTTCACCCTATCCCTTTTCACAGTGATAAAATCATGCAATTTACTCTTCTCACTATTGTCTCCGGTAGTGATTGCACCTATTGAAACAACCTTAAATGATTTTGTATCAAATTTTTCTTGACAAGTGGCAAACATCCATCTTAATATTCAATCATTTTTATCTTATATTTTCTGATGATGTCACACATTCATCTTAATATTCTCATTTTTTATTCTTTTTTATTTTCTCTTATTGTTCTTTTAAAGTTTTGCTTTCACTACCATATAGTATTATCTAGCAGTATGATAAAACTTTCTTTTATTTGGTAGGTATTTCGCAGTAATAAGTGGCCTTTCAAATCTATATTTTAATTACCCAATTTTTATATTATGTGTGACATCTTCGTGACCAATATTTTTGCAATAACGATTCTGAAAACTTGAAGTTAGTAGCATGACATCTTCTCTAATGTTTATCTCCAAGTCATTTCCTTTTCCCCCCTAACATTGCAATGCATATACTAGCTAGGTTTTATTTCTACTTGAGTGAAAATCTTTTTATTTCACATGTCTTAAAAGTTAAGTTTAGAGTTTATCTTTTCTCTTGATTCCTCAATCAAAACTATATCATCTGGAAAAATATGTATTTGGGGATTGTACCAACCTGACTCTAGCCGACCTGAGCCGAGTTCATTGTACCAACCTAACTAGAACCAACCTAACTAGAACCAACCTCGGCTATACCCACAAATTAATCCACCCCGAGGTGACCTCTTAAGCAGGCCAAGATGACGTCAGAGAATGCTGACATATCATAGAAGGCATCATTAAGATACCTCGGTAAGTTAATGAAAACAAGGACAAGTAACCACCCTCAGAAGATAACCATGTAGCAGTTGCACAGTTATTCGGACGACTCCCCACAGGTAATAATATAATGATATGCAAAACTGGAGAGTAATTATAATTTTATCTAGCTTGGATATTGATAACTTTCAATGTTCTTGCTTGCTTGATAATGGCTATCTTGGTCTTATTTTATTAGCTTCAAAATGTATCTGTTGAAGCTTGGTTAAGGATGAAGTAGAGTTGACAAAGATTTGTACTTTTAAATAAGTCAAATCAACAAAAATATTAGAGGATCTGAGCTTCTAATGTTGTCTTTTAATGATGCTTTTGAGTAGCCTTCTGAATAGGGTCATTAGTGCTAGTTTTCTAAAAAGTTAGGCTTTAACTAAGACTTGTTATTTTGGAGGCTCTACTAGATAAACTATTATGGAAAAAAGATAAACACTGGAAGGGGTTGAATAATGTGTATAAAAACTCACACATTTTTTTTATAGTGAAGTAGTAACGCTAGTTAGATGAAGTGTAAAGAGTGGTCAAATGGAACATTGGATATTTTTATACTGGTTCATCTCAACCACCAAGACTACGTCCAATTCTCAATCCAACCAGATTAAGTCCCACCATCTTTAAACAAAGATAAAAAAATATTCTTTTTACAAGACACTTCTGGCTCAATCATAAGTATTATTTGACTTACCTCTTCAAGCAACTACCCTAGTATTTTTTTAACAACAAGCCTCTCTAGGCTTAACAACCAAGTATTCTTCTATAGTCAAGCCTCTTTAGGCTCAAAACAAGTATTCTTTTACGGACAAGTCTCTATAGCTCAAAACAAGTTTTTTTTTTTTTTTTACAAACAAGCCTCCCTAGGCTCAACCTTATAACAATAGTTATGAGGGTTACACAGATATTGTGTTTGTCTCATTTAGATGTTATATAACTAGTATAGAGTAGTAAGTTTGTTTTACAAGAAACAATAAGTATGATTTATAGAGAGTGTTTCTTTTTATACAAGCCTTTTTTGTATATTGCATATCTCTTTTTTCCTTGTGCTTTGAATCTTCTTATATAGTAGCTTGGAGAAGATGATCGTTGCAACACTTTGAGTCCAGTTCACAAGTAATGGAAAAGCTTCCATCAACAAGTTTGTTTCGTCTGTCTTCATCGTCTGTCTTCATCGTCTTTTCTTGTGATGATAGATAACTGTTTGACTCATTTAATGCAAACATTTAATACATTTCACCAAATAATACCTCTTATTTGATAAAAGGAGGTACTTATCAACTTTTCATACCAAACGAAGTTTATAAAAGTAATGTCAGCATAGAGTAACTATAGCAATAACTTTTTCTACTTTTATCCATGATTTTAGGGATCATGGTTCTAACAGAAAGCATGATTTTTCTCTTTAACAGATTTATTGTAACAGCCCAAATTTTTTACTGGGCCGTGGGCCCAATTCGTTGCCTGGAACGGGCCGTTTCGAAAGTGAAACGGGCCGTTCCGGAATAAAGAATTTGCCTAAAAACGTAGTTGACAACGGGCCATTCCGGTTGGAGAATGGGCCGTTCTGGTTTGGAGCACGGGCCGTTCTGAAAGTAGAACGGGCCGTTCTGCTGGGTTTTGAAACGGGCCATTCCGGTTTTGGAATGGGTCGTTCCAGTTGAGATTTTTGCTTGGTTCTGGAGGGTCCAGAACGGCCGTTCCACTTTTGGAACGGGCCGTTCCTGGTTAGCTGAGGCAGATTCCTATAAATAGGAGGCCTTACCTCTCATTTTCTCACATCTCTCATTCTCTCTCCCTATTCTCTTCTGTTCTTTCTTCTTCCCCTCTTCTTCTCTCTGAAGACCATGGGGCACTTAGAGGAGGAGATCAAGAGATCCTTGTTGTAGTTTCAACGGTTGTTTATCCAGGTACGGGGGAAAAAAGGAATTATTTATATGTAGAGTTACATGAGGGAATTGGGTAGAGGAAGAATCCTTTAGGATTATGAGCAATTTTATAATTATTTATGTTTGGAGAATTATTGGTTTTATTTGATTCTGTATGAATTTAGGATTATGAATATATGATTTATTTGTAAAAATGATGCTCTGGGAGAGAGAACGAAATTATAGAAAAGTG